AGTATTTAATAAATAACTAAAAGTTGTTTAGGTGTAGGAACTCATCATTGACATACCTGGTTCACAAGGTAATGAGCCAGATTTCACCACAGATATCCTTTTTTTCAGACTGTCTTTGGGCCGAGGATTCCAAATGTCTAAACCCCCCTCTCCCCCCAGAAAAACCCAACATGCCTATTTGAATAACATGGAAGAAAGTGAATCCATTTATTTAACAGTATTTCAGCAAACATGCTGTGTTTTAAGTTGTTGAAATGTTGTGATTACCTATTAAGCAACTCTCCAGTCCCCTGGCACAAGCCATGGAATCAATTTAAGAATTTTCACATCACTAGAGCATATTCTTGAGATCTTCTGGGACTCTAGGGGCTGAAGGAAGACCAGATATGGTAAACATCTGCTCAGCCAATTTAAAACAAGACCACCACCACATGTCTTAGCTTAAATTTGAAAGCTTTGGGAATTGGACAGCTTAGAGGAAAGTATTAGATCAGCCCAAAAGCTCAATGGATCAATAGATTAGTATGTTGGAGGCCTCTTTGTTTTTATATGCCAACAGGTGCAGAAAGCTTCCTCTGGTTACAAGCAACCTCATATAGAACATTAACTTAGAAAACTGGATCAGGAAATACACTGGCTCAGCCAGCAAATTACTCAAACAGGAGGAAGGTGGATTTTTTTAAAGTTTTTTTTTTTTTTTTTTTTAAGTATGTGCCTGATTTTTACGGCCATTGCTGCAATTTCAGAATGGGCAATTGTTTGCTATTAGTGAAACAACAGAAGAGCACTTCATATCTTCCATGCACTGCACACATTAATTAATCCTCACAGTACCCCTTAGGTGCATAGTAACAGTTCTTGAAATTTTATTGCTATGAATGGAATTTAGATCTTAAATGAAAGAGGAATTTATTATTTTTTTAAAACTATCAAACATTACAGACTTATATCACTCTGACATCAACTGCAATGTGACATAGTCCAGTTCCTAACCCTCAGGTTACCACTGCTGCAGCCCAGCATTTGATTTGCACGAAGGGGAATTAATTGGAATTACTTCAAGGCTTACAAAATGTTGACACAAGGCAGACACTAAATGTTTCACTGAACCCAATCCAGGCCCAATAAAGGCAAACAACTCAAAGTTGAAACTTTATGGGAGCTGAAGCTGATCTGAGAAACTTCCTGTTGTGCCATGAAAATCTTTTCATTCTCTGAGGTTGTCACTGGAAGACATTAGGAGCCTCAAAATACAGATATACCATGTTTTCTCACATACAACACAGACCTTTTCCTCCAAAATTCGGACAAAAAAATGGGGAATGTGTTTTAAACAGGGAAGCTATTTTCTTTCCTGGAAAACTAGGAAGCCTGGACACACTTTGCATGCCATGCAGCTGCCAAAATGGCTGCCACTTGGGGCTGCTCAGCAATAGGAAGCAGCAGTCTTGCATTAACCCTCATAACTAGTGATTGGCTGAGCAGCAGCATATGGCCAAAGCAGCAAGTGAGCTGTTGACAGTATCTTAATGAGGCTTGTGATACAGAGACAATACTTTACTCACAGGAACTTACATAAAGTACTTACAGTAAAGAACTAACAGTCTTGCTACTGCCCTTGCAGCGGTCTTAGTGCTTAACCTTGCATGCTAAGAGTTAAGTCCTGGGAACAAAGTGTGTAGGAACTGTGGCATTCTGTGTCTGCCATACCAGGAAGTTCCTGATACCATACCTCTTGGACATGCTACATTTCCAGGAGGACTTAATTTTATCATGCAGTCAACAAACTCATTACTTCTCCGTTCTGCTTTCCAAAAAAAGGTGCATGTTTAATTGGGCAGGGGCAGGGAGCATGTTGTGTGCAAGAAAATGTGGTACTTGATAAAGATTTTCTTTTCTCCATAGTAATACTTATGATAGACTGAAAAACTGAGTTCTTCAAAGCAAGACTGAGAACACCTTAGGATGCTAATTTTGTTAGCCAATCATTGCTTTAAGGTGATCTTGCATAAATAGTATAGGCTGTTCTATACTGATACAAATATGTGGATTCACTTCCCCCCCAGCCTCCCAAAAGTCATTTGCAGTATGGGCTCAGAAAGCTTCTAGATGTCTACAGACATCTGAAGGATTAGGCAACAGCATCACTGCTACAGTTGGCTAACCAATCAGGGCTGAGCTGTGTGGTTGCAGCAGCTAACTTTATTATATGTATACAATGGCCTCTGCCACTAGGATTGAACAGCCCAGATTCACATACAGGAACCAGACTGGGGAAAGAAGTCAGCAGCCCGGCACCAACTAGGTATTTGGAGCAGTGGTTTATGGAACATAGCACCATGACCCGTTTCATACCCAGGCCATGTGAAGTGTGTGCAGAGCACTTGGTCTCTGGAGGTGATCAATTTGAGGGAGAGGCTCACACCCACTGACAGCTATTTTGGCTATTTCCAGACACTGCCACTGGCAGTAAGTACCTCAGATTTGGGGAACTGAGCCTGGTAGTTGTGAGCAAGGGGTGCTGGTGAAGCTTTTAAGATTAAGTTACACAAACACTTGTCTAGGATGCTTTAGACAGGGATGATTCTGCCTTAAGCAAGGGCCTGATCTCCTGAGGTTCATTCCAGCCCTAGTTTCACATGATTCTAACTTACAGTGTTATCATATTGCATCTGCCACAGGGACCTGTCCCAATTAAAGCAGAAGTAATCAGGTATTTTTGTAAGGCCAAGATCACAGTGAGCCATTAGACTGCTCTGTCTCTGTTTGCTTGGTGTGCTGGAGATTGGAGCCAATAAATATAAATAAATCTACTATGAACAAGGTAGAGATTTGTGTCAAGGCATAAGAACTTAATGTTCTGTTTTACTTTCTTAAATTGCACAATTCCGTTCACATAAAAGTAAGAACTTAACCCCCTGGAAAGTAACTGAACACCAGCTGGACATCACCTGGGCTCTGGAATGTCTTGGAGGATCCTGCCCAGCAGTCTGCACTGTGGCCAGGGCAGTTTCTGAACCAAGAGGCAAACCTGTGCAGGAACTCTGAGTCTCCTAATGGGCTGTGACTGCAGGCTGCCCACAGCCTAGCTATGGATGTTTTCAACCATGCCTCTGGACACAAAGTGACAATGGAAGGAAGGCAGATGAAAATAACTAATACCAAACGTTCAGGCACTGGGTGCAGAGGGTGGTGGAAAATGAGGGGTTTCCTCTGATGACAGAGAGAGGTAGGGCTCTGCAAGTGGGAAGATCTTTTAAAAACAAAGAAAGTAAGGGTGTAACAGAAAACCAGAAGGCTGTTACCTAAGGAGAAAAAAATACCAGGCTGAGCTAACTACAAGGGAAATGTTAAACCAGGGGGAAAGAAAGAGGCTGACTGCAGTAGTTTACTTTGCATAGTTCAGCAGGGCAGAGCCCTGCTTGGGGTAGCAGGGACCATGTTGCAGTCCCTAGACCAGCAGCAGTAGGCTGTACTGGAAGCCAGGCAGCAAGCCTAATTAGAAAACACCTGTGGGTAGCTGGGGGCGTCACCTGATCAGAACAGGGCAGGCCTAAGAGGGACTCAACCATTATTACTATAATAATATTACTTTTTAAACACATAATGATTGTCAGAAGGTTTATTAACTTCTTCCCTACCCCACAATAATTTGACTAAAATTCTCTTTTACCAACACTGTAACTAAGGCTGTGTACCAAGGTTGGGCCTATCATTACTGTAACACAAGAAGTACCAAAGACTAAGATTTGGTATCTAACCCTAATACAGCCAGACTTTATAAGTAATTTGGAGGTGCTCAAGGTAACAATTAAATTGGGCATTGCTATAAGAACAGTTTTTTTCTTGTAGCACTATTGAGACAAGGATTCTGCATGCAACTGAGAGCTATTACAATGCAAATACACAAGGGGAGATGAATTAAGGTTGCATTGCCAACCATAATAGTAACTTCTGACTGTCTGAATTTGTAGCCTTGGCAGTTTTCAGTATTGCTTCAGTTATATTCCTATTTATAAAATATAAATGTGTGTGCATGCACAAAAACATATGTACATTCACAGCTGATGAACTATTGAGTGCTTTGTGATTTGTGTACTAGTTTTCATCCAAAATAAAGCAACAGTCTCACCAAAGAGTCAGATAAAATTGGCTTCTCATGTCCTCCAAATGACCAAAAATTTCTATTATTTGTAATAAATATTTCATCCAAACATTCCTCACTTGGTGGAACAGCCAGAACCCCCAAAATAAAATCTTAAGTTTGTCAATTTCATAGTACAATTTTGTCAACAGAGTCTATTATACCCTAGTACAGGAGTTCCCAACCTTTTTATGCCATGGCCTGGCAAACTGTGGACCGGAAGCAGCCATAGCCTGGCAAACTGCGGACCACCACACGGAGCCCCATGACCAGAATTTCTGATTGGAACAGTTAATAATCATAAAGGAAGTGTGGATCCATGGTAAGTTGGAAAAAAAACAACAACCAAGAACTAACTGATGATGAGCTTTTGCTGATATGTCAAAATGAATACATTTCCATGAAAAGCAATAGCTGCAAATATCAAAATACCTTTCCTTACGTGCAAATTAATTTGAAGGTGAAAGTGTATGTAGCTAGTCCAACTTCTGATAATGCCTCTCCAATTTGTTTTTAAATCATTGATCCATAACTACTATTTCCCCCCAAAAATATAAGGATTCAAGAAAGTTGACAAAAATGACACACATGGGACACAGAACACATGCAATACAGACTGCTCCCAGTCCTGTTATGGGCAGACCACACCTAAGGGTGAAAAGTTAATTAATTTGGCTGGCTGCTGAGACCACTAGCTAACACAAACAGTGTTGGCAATTTCTGAGGCAGGCAGGCATCTCTGCACAAGAAACTGGACTGCTTTCAACTCAGTTAGCAAGGCGCGATAGCTCTCGCACTGTACAGGCTACCAGGCATGGTTCCAGTTCTAACAGAAAAACTGTTAACAAGTCTCTTGAGCCATCCAGACCCCATCCACCTATAACATAGGGTGAAAAATCATTTGCAGATGACAGAGGCTACCACAGTTCATTGACTACAGCTAGCTCAGAAACGATTACTTGGTGTGGCACCTTTAATAAAGCAGTGAAGAACGTAAACATCACCAAGAAAAGTAAAAATGAGCTTGATTGAAAAATACTTGATACTTTTCTTCTGTACACTCTAAACAGTTGAATCAGTCTAGTCCAGAATCATAATTCACATAACATCGAAATTCATTGGCTAAGTTTCGAGTATGTTTTGGAATGAATTTGCACATCTTCACACCAAGAAGCCTTGCTGCATGCTCCTCCATGATGGCACCTGAAGCAGAAAGAATTATGGTTTGATGAGAAAAGGTCAACGGAATTATTTTTTTCCCTCTTTCAAACAGCTCTTCCAAGATCCCTTATTTTTTAATTTTCTTCTCATCTTTTTAAAGCCTCATGGCGCAGCAAGCATGCCTGGACTGCAGAAAGGGTTGCAGGTCACTTAAAATCATCAGGAGAGAGAAAGAAGGAACAAAATCATGCAGGATTCCAGGACTCAAGAACAACTTCTTCAATCCACTGTTTTGGGGCTGGGCAGAACTCGTTTGACCTCCCAAATTCAAGTTAAAAGAGCGTAATCCAAGACAAACTCAGATGCTACGTACTGTACTACCACGTTGAATGAAGAAACCCTAAAATGTGGGAGACAAGAATTCTTGTTGGTGATATCTTTTATTGGATCAACTGCATCGTCCAACAGACACACAGAAGCTTTCAGGTGTCACAGTACCCTTGATACCCAAAAGCTTGTCTAGGTCTCTTCCAACCATGCAGTTGCCCCTCGCCTACTTCCTGGACCATTACGGTAACGACATCATCTGGACTCGAGAATGCAACAGTTGAAGCTACTCAGTTTGAAGCTGGAAGTACACTAGAGCGCTATCACAACATGGCCAGAGCACCTCTTTGTGGTACTTGAAACAAAGCAGATGTAGAGAGTCTAGGGTAAGAAGCAGCACTCATAGGCACAACTGCTACCCTATAGCACTGCTCAGCTATGCCCCTAATAGTTTAGTTTTCACTGTTCAGTTTTGCTGCATGGGGGCTGAAGTTTTTAAAGCCATGGCAAAATCTCTAGAGACCGATTTACATGACAGCAGTTGCATCTATCAATTAACAAGAGAGGGTGCCCTTACCGTTCACATCCCTCTTTTCAGGAAAATCCTAAAACTTCGTTCTTTTAGAAAAAGTCTTTGCTAAAAAAGTCCTCCATCACAGACCAGACGCAGTGACTACGGTCTAGTAATCACTCCCTCCTATCATCTCCCCCCTGCTATTATTTTGGGCTAACCAGGCAGATTTATCTGACACCTTAAAACATCAGCCAGCAGCTGTAAGATAGTTTCTAAAGGAAGTTCCTAAGGGTGCGAGCATCCCCCGTTTCTACCAGGTGAGCATGGATACATTTAAAAATGTTTTAAAAATGTTTCTTTACTATCCAGTTAGCATAAACAAACTTCAACTGCCTGAATTTAAAAGAATTAGTATGTGATTGGAAGAACACTGTTTCTTCCTCAACTTGCCTCAAAACAGTTTATTAACTTTTAGTAGAACTAAGAATGATGCAGTTAATAGGCTTGCCCTTTTCGAATTCAAAACTAGCATTCTGCGTGGAAGGGAAGGGCTGCCTGGGTCTGAGTGGTAGCCTAGCACAACTCTGGAAACCTGGGAGATCCAGTGGTGGAAAACTTCTGAGGAGCCAGGCGAGTGAGCAGGCAAGAAACTGAACTCCCGAGGTCCCTTCCAACCCTAATTTTATATGATTCTATGAACAGATTTCCAATAGACCCTTGCCTGGGCTCTGTCAAAATCCTGCTGACGCCAAACTCTCCTTGTAAAAATGGTTCCATTTAGATGAATTGACAATTCTGACAAAAATCAATTCTCAGAATTCTTCCAAGCAGCTCCAAATACCCCTGACGTTCAGATTAACTGTTTACATTAACAAACCCAGAAAGTTCTGAAAAGTTAATGGCCACCATGAGAAATTCACTCCCGCTAGACAAATACAGTATTAGCTTCACCCAAACAATGAAGGAAGTTTAGAGACATATCAATTTTAAGATATTTGTATTTTCTCAAAAGACACAAGAGACCATACCTGTACAAAGCAGAACCTTTCCTTTTGTTAAGTATTTGATGGTCTCGCCTGTTTTACTGAGGCACTCCTCAGACAGATAAGGTGGATCTGCTATTACTATGTCAAAACTGTGTGGCAGGACATTTTCAGGTAAATTCAAAGGATTACTATAGTCATAGAAGATAAATTCCTCTCCATATACAGAAAATCTTTTGTCATACTCCAGGATACACACTGAAAAGTCTTTGCCATGTTGTTCTTTTAGTTTCTGATAAACACTTGGTGCACTAACACACGCTATCCTGAAAAGGAGCAAACAAAGAACAAATATGTCAGAATATTCCTTTTTAAAGAGACAGATAAAGAAATAAACAGAGCATATTAGAATTGGGATGAAACCACAACACAGATTCCCACCACACCAAAATTCAACTAGGGGATTTGGAGTCAGATATATAATAAAGATATAAAACCTCTCAAATTTCCTGTGTTTGAATAGTGTATTTTGGTCCTCGTCTTTTACCTGGATTTCTACTCCTTATACCTTCCTTATTTTTTTGGTCTAATCCCTGCTCCTCAAAAAGCCAAGTCAATATAAAGGCATTAATGATTCACTGATTTCAGCAAAAGCTGCTGTCTGTTAGTAGATATCAAGCCTGCTTCTTGATATTGAAAATGACACAACTTACATGCACAGTTTTCAAAAGTTAATAATAAGCAATATCATGCTAATTGTAAGAGTACTATCAAAGAGACAGAATCAAAAACAGCACAGATATTGGTGACACTAAGCTAGTTTTAGAGAAATTCGATGAAACTCAGATTAGTTAATACATAGTTGTGTTAAACTCCACAAGATCTTGTTTCATGGCAAAACAGAACTAAAATAAAAACTCCTCTTTGGAAAAAAAAGTCTAACAATCAAGATAATTTTAATATTAGTCTACAAAACAGGCATAAGAGTGAAACAAAAAAGCTAAATCATGCTGTTAAAACCTAAATCATACAGAAAACCAGAACTATCCATACACATATAAAAAAAATTAGACCTTTTTTTTTATTCCCGGCAGAAAGCAATCCATACAAACCTCTCTCCCCTGCACTCACTCCTAAAAATATAAGTTTCATATATTTAAGCATGATATAAAGCTTTAAGACACACACTCTGGACAGCAGCTTGGGGTCACCTGTAAATTTACCAAGTGTGCACTCCCTTTTCTATGATTTTGTATAGATCACAGAAAAATAGGGTGGAAGAAAACACAGAAAATCATCTAGTCCAGCCTCTTGCTCAAGGCAAAATCATCCCTATCGAAACCACCCCAGCCAAGCATTTGTCCAGCTTACAAATAAAAACTTTCTGTGACAGCGTTTCCAGGACCTACCCCAGTATTCTATTGCAATCTTCCCTCACAGTTAGAAAGTTCTTTCTACTATTAAATTGCTCTCGTTGCAGATTACACCTGTTACTTCTCATCCTGTCCCCTGCAGACAGAAGAATCTACCATCCTCGTCACACTCTCTTTGTATTGAAGACTTAACTAATGCTCCTCAGTCTTCTCCCTTTTTTTTTTTTTTTTACGGACTTGCTTGTACCTGTCTGGGAGAAACTGACAGCTTGCTATAATCGCAGAGATCTAGATGGCAGTTTCTCTAGGAGCACACATCACAGCCAGGTCTGGGTTATTTAATAAATACTATGTAAATAAACTCAGGCTACAATGTAAGATCAAACGCTCTAACCATCATTCCTAACTGTGGGAATCCAGCATGCAGCTGTGCACGTGAAAGGGTTACACCTT